TCAGAGATAATGATTTAACCCCAGTTCCTCAGTGTGACGATCGCGGCGTCAGACCTCAGCCCTTCTCAACAAACTCACGACCGAAGGACTAGCCAATCTAAAACCGCGCTGTCACGTGCGTAACAATGCCACACACAGCTGCACCCTGCACAACGATTTTCCAGCTAATGGACCACAATCTCTGTACCTGCAGCCTGGGAGCGATTGTTACTGGGTCAGGTTTATTACGCAATTAACCCTTCACACTGCCACCACCTCCTTTTTGTACAGAGAAAGAGGAAACGTGGCAATATTAGCAATAACACTATGATGTTTGAATAATCGTTTGTATACACAATGTCACCGCAGACAGATGTATGCAGACGTTTTAAAACACACAGTAGCGCTCTTCAGAGACAGGGATTCTTAGTTTGCATTAAATAGATTTAGAAACAGTTCAACACTTTCAGAAAGTAAGATTTATTACTGAAAGGTCAAAGGGTGCAATAGAAATATTTACAGAAAAAGATGTAGCCTATATATATATATATATATATATATATATATATATATATATATATATATATATATATAATACATACATACATACATACATATACATACATACATACATACATATACACATACACATACACATACACATACACTATACACATACACACATACACATACACAACATATACACATAACATACACATACATACACAAAACAAACACACACAAACAAAACATAACACACAAAAATACAACATAAACATAACACACACACAACACACACACACACATACACATATATATACATGCGCACACACACACAGAGCAATAACATAGCAAAGATATAATAGAAGTTTAGAAAGAGTACTTGCCAAAAGTCCTGGGTTAAGCAGATCAAGTTTCCTGAGCCAAAAGGGTGCCTTATCTCCCAACGGTGGTTCCGATGTTAAAAGGGAGGTTTCTTCAACTGCAATACGACCTACTCAACTTAACTCTCTGCTCCAAGCATAACAGCCTTTCTAGGAACTCAGCAAGGTGTCTCCTTGAAGCAGAGAACCAATCACCTCATTTGGGGAGGGTGTTGCAGGCGGAGACCCAAGCTAAAACCAAAATCCCTCGCAGTTTATATCATGATCCATAACTTACCCTCGGTGCATGTAGCAGACTTGCCACTAGTAGATTAATATGCAGAAGCATCTGCTGAACGTATTGATATTAAATATGACATACCTGCTTGGGACGGTTAAGGAGATATTATTTTCTGCTCTCCTGTAGATTTCAGCTAGGGGGTGTAATATATCAGCCAACTTGTATTAAAGTGACCGATCCGAATATATGCCTGGTTTCCTTGTAAGTCTTCCATATCTCCAGATATAAAATGATATGGAAAAGGGGATTTTTAAATGTGAGTCTGTTTTACAGCTAGCTGGAATGTCTTTGAAGCTCAGTGAAGGACTGGTTTATGGTTTTATGATATCTCAGATTGAGAAGCTAACGGACACCCGGGCACCAGCTAGTGTGGGATTTATTACCATGCAGTTCTACCACTGTGCCTGTGGTCTCTGACATCATACAGACCACATTCCTGAGGGAGGGGGAAATTGGAGGGAAGCTGATTTGGGAGTAGAAATTATACAAGATGGAGGATCCTTAGCAAGATGGATGACCTTGTCCATCTCTGTATGCACAATTGCTACACTCAGCAGTTCAATCCCTGTACCTTTTGCAGAATAGTCTGTCCCTGATGATTTTTTCCTTTAAAGAAGTGGTTTCTTTGATGCCCTTCTTGACACCAGGCCATCCTCTAAAAGTCTTTTGCCTCACTGTGCGTTCAGATGCACTCACATCTGCCTGCTGCCATTCCTGAGGTAGTTCTGCACTGGTAGTGCCCTGATCTGGCAGCTGAATCAACTTTAGGAGACCATCCTGGTGCTTTCTGGACTTTGTTGTATAGAAGGCTTCAGGGTGCCCAAGAATTGAACTTTTCTCCTTGAAGTTCTTGATGATCACATAAATGGTTGATTTAGTTGCAATCTTAGTAGCAGCAATATCCTTGCCGGTGAATCCCTTTTTGTGCAAAGCAATGATGACTGCACGTGTTTCATTGCAGGTAACCATGGTTAACCGAGGAAGAATGATTGCAAGCACCACCCTTCTTTTAAAGCTTACAGTCTGTTCTAACTCAATCAGCACGACAGTGATCTCCAGCCTTGTCCTCGTTGACACTGACACCCATGTTAACGAGAGAATCACTGTCTTGTCAGCTGGTCCTTTTGTGGCAGGGCTGAAATGCAGTGGAAATGTTTTTTCTGGGGATCAAGTTTTTCATGGCAAAGAGGGACTTTGCAATTATTTGCAATTCATCTGATCACTCTTCATAACATTCTAGAGTATATGCAAATTGCCATCATAAAAACTGAGGCAACAGACTTTTGAGAATTACATAAATATTAATTTTCACAAATGTTTGGCCAGAGCTGTGCATTTTCTGCTTAGTAATATTAACCACTTGCCCTCCGGAGGATTTACCCCCCCCCCCCCCCCCCAGGCCCCCCCCGACAGGCCTATCTTTTTATTATTCACAGCACTATTTCAGCTGGTAATTGCGGGGTCATGCAACGCTGTACCCAACCAAAATGAGTCCTTTTTTTCGCACAAATAGAACTTTCTTTCGGTGGTATGTGATCATTGTGCGCTTTTTATTTTTTGCACTATAAACAAAAGATCGAAAATTTGAGAAAAATATATTTTTCTACTTTCAGCTATAAAAAAATATAAAACTCTAAGTTAGTCATAAATTTAGGCCCAAAGTGTATTCTGCTACATGTTTTTGGTACAAAAAAAAATCCCAATAAGTGTATATTGATTGCTTTGCGTGAGAGTTTATAGCGTCTACAAACTATGGTATAAATCAGGGGTCTCCAAACTTTTTAAACAAAGGGCCAGTTTACTGTCCTTCAGGCTTTAGGGGGGCTGGACTGTCGCCAGTGTGAGTAGTAGAAAATGTTTCTACAAAGGTGGGAGTAAACCCTTCCCCATTAGTGGTTTTAACAGGAGGAACTGTGCCCCATCATTGATTTTTAACAGAAGGGATAGTGCCCCAGCGATGGTGTCAGTGGGAGAAATAGTGCCCCAGTGATGGTGTCAGTGGGAGAAATAGTGCCCCAGTGATGGTGTCAGTGGGATAGAAATAGTGCCCCAGCGATGGTGTCAGTGGGAGAAATAGTGCCCCAGTGATGGTGTCAGTGATAGAAATAGTGCCCCAGCGATGGTGTCAGTGGGAGAAATTGTGCCCCAGCGATGGTGTCAGTGGGAGAAATCGTGCCCCAGCGATGGTGTCAGTGGGAGAAATCGTGCCCCAGCGATGGTGTCAGTGGGAGAAATCGTGCCCCAGCGATGGTGTCAGTGGGAGTGCCCCAGCGAATCGTGCCCCAGCGATGGTGTCAGTGGGAGAAATCGTGCCCCCCAGCGATGGTGTCAGTGGAAGAAATCGTGCCCCAGCGATGGTGTCAGTGGGAGAAATCGTGCCCAGCGATGGTGTCAGTGGGAGAAATCGTGCCCCAGCGATGGTGTCAGTGATGGTGTCTGTGGGAGAAATAGTGCCCCAGCGATGGTGTCAGTGGGAGAATCGTGCCCCAGCGATGGTGTCAGTGGGAGAAATCGTGCCCCAGCGATGGTGTCAGTGGGAAATAATCGTGCCCCCAGCGATGGTGTCAGTGGAGTAATCGTGCCCTAGTGATGGTGTCAGTGGGACGGAGGAATATTTTACTGAACAGAAAAATAAGGGTAATGTGCCACTTAAAAGTGGAAAGTTTAGGTCTAGTTCAAAGTTGACTTTCAGATTAGAAACCTTACCCAAGCACTGCAGTGGGCTGCTAAGTTAGAAACAGGATTGGCCTGTTTATGGATTCAAATATTCTCTTTGGAATGAGGCTGTTTTTTATACATTTATCTTTTAAAGCCTAATTCCGGGTTTCATTTATGGTCAGATAGTTTGCTTGGGCCAAGTTGGTCCAAAGGAACCATTTCCTTCACTAATACATGCATCCGCTATGAGTATTGTGTATGTAGCATCAGCTACATACAGTATACAGAGCTGTGTTCAGCAGTGGTGGGGGAATTCGCATCCCATTCCTTAACAAAATTATGTGGGACTGAGTGCTGCTTTGCCATTCACAGGAAAATTTCTATTTTATGAATAAATACAAGTCTTCCTCTGATTTGGCTGAGGTGGACAGTTGGGCAGATGATGTTGTGATCTCTGTCTCAATCAGAGGAAGCGTTCTATTCATTCATAAAGTACAAAGCATCACGTGAATGGCTGATCAGTACTCAGCTCTACTGTTTTGTTCCAGGAATGGGACGCCGTGTTTATACTGCTGCTGGAACATAGTATGCTATATGTAACCGTTTACACAGAGCTCACAGCAGGCGCATGTACTAGTGAAGGAAATAGTTTGGGTCAACTTTAAAACAGTTTTTTTTAAACTGTTCTTGTTTACAGACAGGCTCTTTAATCCATTATGTTTTCTGTTTGAAGGGGTTAAGTATCCCTTGTAGAAAGTTTCCTCAGCAGCATTAATTAAAGGTCACCTTTTTTGGCATTTTACACTGGTCACAGGACTCTTCTGTCGTGAATTATTCTTTACGCAGTGCCTGACTGACACAGCAGAAGCTGAATTGATGTTGGTAAATAATATAACTGGGGCTACTGTATTTAAGTATGTACCATATTATGTCATAGGTTATTTGTTTATATTTTTTTTCACAGCATCCTTGTTGTTAGTTTGTCTCATCAGAGATCACTGATCTTTGACTGTTATGTTTTTTCCCTGCACCCAGAAGGTAAATGGCGTAACTGGTTTACATGCCCCTTTTTTTCCTCTTGTCAGAGTACTTGCTTCAGTGGTAGTTGGCATCTGAGTTTTAAAGAAACCATGTCAGATACTTTGGATTACTTATAACTTGGAAGAAATTTAGTTTGATCTGTCTTTATCTTGTCCCAGCAGTAACATTCGATATTTTAAAGTGGATCAGCCTTCATGTGGATTCTCTGCCAATGAAGCATCTGGAGCCCCTGCTGTTTGGAGCCATGGATATGCAGAGGCCTCAGGAGTCAAGCAAAAGTATGTTTTGATATGCATGCAAAGACAATGAGCCTCCAGCAGCTTGGGCTACATTGTCCAGACCAAACATTTTCAAAGGTGGAGTTATATGCAGATTATTCATTCAGTGGTGCAGAAGAGGGGGCCCAGCAGTTAAAATAGTAGTGACCTGGGTTATGTTTAAGATAGTTATGCACTGATATATCATACCCTGAAAATAGGGTTATCAGCATTTTGCTGATTAGAAAAAATATAATAATGCCAATGATTCACTTTTCATAACGTTACACCCATATTATTCTGGGTGTAACGTGTTAAGGAAGGTCCCCCCCCCCCCCCCCCCCCCACTTTGACAGCTAGCAGGGGTTCGTCTCCTTCTGCTAGCTGTAAAAATAAAAAACGTGGCCGTGTATTGGCTTGCTAGTACAAGAGGTATGGGCAAACAGATCTGACAGGTCTGATACAATACTTAGGCTCATATAACAAAATGCAAATTTTTTTTTCAACCTGCAAAAAAAGTGGATTTATTATTTGTCAAACAGTGATCTTATCCTTTAAATTATTGTGCAAAATAAAATGCGTGTGTGTATGTGTGTGTGTGTATATATATATATATATGTATATATGTGTGTGTGTGTGTGTGTGTGTGTGTGTGTGTGTGTGTATATATATATATATATATATGTGTGTGTGTATGTACACACGCACACACAGTTGTGTTCAAAATAATAGCAGTCAGACATCATTAACCTGATCAATCACTGTTTTTGGTAGAAATGATATTTCTACATGGCAAATAATTTACTAGCAGGTGTAGTAGAGTAATAGAAATCCAACAGACCCAACAGTCATGACATGCGTGCTGCTGATTCTGTATAATTGAATCACTAATTGAAAGGGGCATGTTCAATATAATAGCAGTGTGGAGTTCTATTAGTGAGGTCATTCATTCTTCTAAAAAACAGGTGGCAATTATTGCCCTTATTTAAGGAAGGAAGGCAGCAAATGTTGTACATGCTGGTTACAGTGCATTTCTCTCTGAAATTCTGAGGAAAATGGGTCGTTCCAGACATTGTTCAGAAGAGCAGCGTACCTTGATTAAAAAGTTGATTGGAGAGGGGAAAACATATAAAGAAGTGCAGAAAATGATAGGCTGCTCAGCTAAAAATGATCGCAAATGCTTTAAAATGGCAACCAAAACCTGAAAGACGTGGAAGAAAGCAAAAAACTACCATTCGAATGGATAGAAGAATAGCCAAAGTGGCAAGGACTCAGCCAACAATCATCTCCAGGAAGATCAAAGAAGGTGTAAAGTTCCCTGTGAGTACTGTTACAATTAGAAGAGGCCTATGTGAAGCCAAGCTATCTGCAAGAAGCCCCCGCAAAGTCCCACTGTTGAAAAAAAGACGTGTGCTGAAGAGGGTACAATTTGCCAAAGAGCACATTGACTGGCTAAAGAGAAATGGCGCAACATTTTGATGAAAGTAAGATTGTTCTTTTTGGGTCTAGTGGCCGGAGGCAGTTTGTCAGACGACCCCCAAACACTGAATTCAAGCCACAGTACACTGTGAAGACAGTGAATCATGGTGGTGCAAGCATCATGATATGGGGATGTTTCTCATACTACGGTGTTGGGCCTATTTATCGCATACCAGGGATCATGGATCAGTTTGAATACATCAGAATACTTGAAGCGGTCATGCTGCCTTATGCTGAAGAGGAAATGCCCTTGAAATGGGTGTTCCAACAAGACAACGACCCCAAACACACCAGTAAACGTGCAACATCTTGGTTCCAGACCAACAAGATTGACGTTATGGAGTGGCCAGCCCAATCCCCGGATCTTAATCCAATAGAAAACTTGTGGGGTGACATCAAAAATGCAGTTTCTGAGGCAAAACCAAGAAATAGAGAAGAACTGTGGAATGTAGTCCAATCATCCTGGGCTGGAATACCTGTTCACAGGTGCCAGAAGTTGGTTGACTCCATGCAACACAGATGTACAGCAGTTCTCAGAAACAGTGCTTATACAACTAAATATTCATTAAGTGATTCAAAGGAAAGCAAAATCTTCAAACATTTTTCAGTTTATATAGTGAATGTTTGAGTTTGTAAAGAAGAATACAAACACTGCTATTTTTTTTGAACAGTCTAATATTCACTTCTTCAATTTTTTTTTTAGAGGAACAACACAAATTTGATATATTTTTCTTCATGTTTTGATTTGGAATAGAATGTGTAGTGTTCCCAATGCATTTGTGTGTATGGAAATAAAAGCTATTGGAAGGATTTTGAGCTTTATTCAAATTTTTCAACACGACTGTATATAATTTTTTATATTTTTTTCAATTAAAGTTATTTAATGTATCTGAATATATATATATATATAAAAAAAATATATATATTTTATATAAAAAATTTTAGTTTTAGCAGAATTTTCATTTCAGTGTACCACTACTTTAAGATTCTGTGTGGTCAGTGAATTAAAACTTTGCCATGGCTGTCCTTTCTGTCAGCAGATTCGGTCAGAGTTCCTACCCCTGTAAGTCTTGGTACTTAGGCATCATCATGCTCCTCATTCTTTAAAAGAATCCCACTCCCACAAGTGGCAGATAACACCTGTTTTCATATTTAAATGAGAAATTGCTAGACTTTTTAAGTAAAGTCACTTTTTTTGAGACTTGTATAACACTGCATTTCAGTATGAAAGTGGAGATGTATGATGCAGTTTAAATCTTTTGAAATCGAATTGTTTTGTTACAGTTGCGTTGTTTTGTCGAGTCAGGAAAGCTCAGAGAGGGTCACAACATCAGGTGTTACCCTGGCCTTTTCTTCTTTTTCCTTTATTGTCCATGGTTGCTGTGAGACTTGGTGTAAGCGATGCGGTCTGACTTCATAACATAGCAGTGTGTATACTACTGCAAGTACAACCCAACATTTCATCTGTATTCATTGATGGCTGAAAAGTTCTGCTTTCAAGTCTCAGTACAGAATGATGTAAGCTAGAAGGAATGTTAACTGCTTGTCTGCCACCTACTCTAGAGGACTTCACAAAACTGTTCCCACAGGACCCATCCATGCAAATTTCTCTCCTCTTGCTCTTGATATGGAAATTGAGATTTGGCAACATAAATTCTAAAAACTGTGCATTGTACTCATGAAAAAAAAATGCATACATTACATGTGACATTAATGGGATTTGCTTTTATTTTTGTGGCTTTTCATTGAAATGGGTTTATCAAATCTGGAGCATATGCCCATGGTGACCAATCAGTTTCTCTTTTTATTTGTAAAGCCTGAAGCACTATTAAAGCCAAAAACAAAAAATTATTAAATAGCAGCTTACCAATTCTTAGATGTGGTGGCTGCATAATTTTCTTTTTCCTGTATTTTACTGCCTGGTTATCCAGGCAGCAAGTCCTATTTTTTATTTTTAATTGCCCAGGCTGTCCAGACAAAGTAGCAGTTAGGGGGGTGCGACAAACCATTTAACACTGACAAGGGTGCTTACAAGGATCAGATTTTTTCATTTGTTAAACCTTTTTCCCAAAAACAGAAACAACTCCTGCAACGGCTTATAAGTGTGAGATAGAGGATTGGTTCAAAGGTATTAGTCAAGTCTATCTAAACCTGCTAGTCTTTTTTGTTTTTTGTTTTTTTTATCCAATTTAATTTTTCCAAAAAGTGGCTTTTTTTAAGTTTATAATGGTGCTACAACGGAAGAAGTGTACACAACACAAGGAAAAGAGGCACACATAGTGGCACGTCATTATAAATGTACCATCTGAAATCTTAAAGTGAAAGTAAACCCACTTTTGTATGTTTTGCCTACAGGTAAGTTTGCCTGTAGGTAAAATGAATATTTGCTCATTTTGTCTGCTGGCGCATGCTCTGTGAAGGAACAGCATACCCCTGCCGTTCCTTCAGAACACTGTGCCGCGTCCAAGACTCCCGCAGGCATGCATGGGAGTGACATTAGTGCAGCTCAGCTAGTCAGGCGGCCAGGACTCATGAACCCAGAAGGAAGACTGGGAGAAGAAGGAAGCTTCTGCAGCGGGGACATCGCACTGCTGGAGGGCTTCGTTTTTAGGTAAGTCCTGCATAGTGTGCCAGTATGTGATGCATACTAGCACATTATGACATTTACTTTCCAGGGGAATTTTTTTATTTTTTTGTGTCAAGTTGCGGTTACTACTGCTTTAACCTGGTTGTATCATAATGCCACATCTGGCCCACATTAGGAATTTTTTTTAATACACCCCTTTGTTCATATGTGATTTTTTTCATATACTAACAATTTGCGAAGTTCTTTGACCCATTCTCCTGTCGAAAGGGTAACACTTGCAACCCACTTCAGCAGTATCATTCTGCGAGCCGCAAATAGAGATCTAGTCTAAAACTACCCTCTCCACACATGAACAATGCTTCTGTGCAAAGGTGTCTGCTTTACTGCTACATTCGGAGTGTAGAGACCCTAGGCAGGAAGTGTTAATGGCTGGACCACCAGGTGAAATAAAAGAAAAAAACGGCCCCAAAAAAACTAGTGCAGCCCACACTTTTAATGATTGGTAAGCTGCAATAGTTTACATTTTTTGTGTTTAATTTCGCTTTTAAAAAGCTGAAGCTAGAAGCTGACTGGTTACTTTGTACAACTGCTCCAGATTCTGTCCACTCAAGTTTTGATAAATTCCCCCATTTTGTAGATAACATTTATATGAATACCATGTCTGCTCTAAAATATTATGTTACTTTTCTTTGGTTTTCTTCAGGTTATGTGTTGCCTCCCTTTTGGTTAACAACTTCTGTGATAACCGAGAAGCAGTGTATGGTGTGTTTGATGGAGAACGCAACATAGAAGTGCCTAGCTTGCTGCAGTGTACTATGTGTGACATATTAGCTGATGAGCTTCAGAAGACCAAGAGTGAAGAGGAGTACATGGGAAACACCTTCCTTGTCATGCAAAGGTAATCCTAATACATTTCTGCTTCTTACCATAGTATTCTAGCCTGTGAGATGCAAAGGACAGTGGGGCAAATGTTAACAAGCAAGTTTTTTCACCAGCAAAATGAAGGGGCGTGAATCTAGCCTTAAAACCAAAGATAATTATAAGGTCTTTATATGATTTAGCTTTTTACAGTGATCATTATGGATCGGCTATTAGTAATGTTCATTGTAATACTGGCATTTAGTCAAAACCCTTCCCCCTCCTACCCCTACTGCTCAACCTTCTCTGACTAATCGCTACATTGCCAAAAAAACACAGCACTATCTTAAATCACTTTTCTCTTACGTAAATTGACGGACACAGTTCTTCTGATTCTTGACCATAGGTTATAGCATCACCTACAGGATTAGGACACTAGGCTGAAAAAACACAGCACCCCTTATGGTTAGTTTAAGCTGGTATGACCCACCTCTCTGCTATAGGCAAGACAGTTATCTTTGCCCAGTGTTTCAGGAGTAAGGACCTGGTTCCCTACTAGAACCTGTTGTTCTATGGCTTTTTTTCCTGGGATTTTTTTTTCCTGCTGAGATCTTCAATCAATAGCTGGGTTGGGGACAGGCTGGATAGTCTAGATCCAGTGGTCACCCCAGTCTAGCCATGGAGCGTGTACAGATCTTTAGCTCTGTGCTCGGACAGCCGCGACAAGCCCCATCCTAGACCAGGTCAGCCAGCGAGGTAAACATCTAGCAGGGACATGTATGACTGGGCACCAGTGTCAGTGTTACCCTGGCCGACAGCCCCACCACTTCGTTGGAGAGGAGGATCTGTCATGGTAACCTTACCTGCATGCTCTGCTGGATCAGTAAGTACAGTGGGGATCGAAAGTTTGGCACCCCAGCTAAAAATTTGTATTAATGTGCATAAAGAAGCCAAGGAAAGATGGAAAAATCTCCAAAAGGCATCAAATTAAAGATTAGACATTCTTATAATATGTCAACAAAAGTTAGATTTTATTTCCATCATTTACACTTTCAAAATAACAGAAACCAAAAAAATGGCGTCTGCAAAAGTTTGGGCACCCTGCAGAGTTAATATCTTGTACTGCCACCTTTGGCAAGTATCACAGCTTGTAACCGCTTTTTGTAGCCAGCCAAGAGTCTTTCAATTCTTGTTTGAGGTATCTTTGCCCATTCTTCCTTACAAAAGTCTTCCAGTTCTTTGATATTGCTGGGCTGTCTGTCACGCACTGCTCTTTTAAGGTCAATCCATAGATTTTCAATTATGTTGAGGTCAGGAGATTGTGAAGGCCATGGCAAAACCTTCAGTTTATGCCTCTTGATGTAACCCCCCATGGATTTCGAGGTGTGTTTAGGATCATTATCCATTTGTAGAAGCCATCCTCTCTTTAACTTCAGCTTTTTCACAGATGGCATCAAGTTACCATCCAAAATTTGCTGAAATTTTATTGAATCCATTTTTCCTTCTACTCGTGAGATGTTCCCTGTGCCACTGGCTGCAACACAACCCCAAAGCATGATTGATCCAACCCCATGCTTAACAGTTGGACAGAGGTTCTTTTCATTAAATTCTGTGCCCCTTCTTCTCCAAACGTACCTTTGCTCATTCCGGCCAAAAAGTTCAATTTTAACCTCATCGGTCCACAGAACTTGTTTTCAAAATGCATCAGGCTTGTCTATATGTTCATTTGCAAAGTTAAAACGATGATTTTTGTGGTGAGGACGTAGAAGAGGTTTTCTTCTGATGACTCTTCCATGAAGACCATATTTGTACAAGTATCTCTTTATAGTGGAATAGTGTACCACAACTCCAGTGTCTGCCAGATCTTTCTGGAGGGATTGTGCAGTCAAACGTGGGTTTTGAATTGTTTTTCTCACAATCCTGCGAGCTGTTCTGTCTGATATTTTTCTTGGTCTTCCAGATCTTGCTTTAACTTCCACTGTTCCTGATGACTGCCATTTCTTAATTACATTCCGTACAGAAGATATTGACATCTGAAAACACTTTGCTATCTTCTTATAGCCTTCTCCAGCTTTGTGAGCGTCAACTTTTTTCAGTTTCAGTTTTCTAGACAACTGCTTAGAAGAACCCATGGTGCTGATTGTTTGGGCAAGGTCAGATGAGTCTGGGCATTTAAAACCTTTGAGATTGACATCACCTGGTCTTCCCAGACAATGATTGAGAACAATCCATGACACTGGCAGGTCTCAGCTTGGCAAAGGGGGCAGTGCATGCTCTAAATTCTACAGGGTGCCCAAACTTTTGCAGATGCCATTTTTTTGTTTTCTGTTATTTTGAAAGTGTAAATGATGGAAATAAAATCTAACTTTTGTTGACATATTATAAGAATGTCTAATCTGTAATTTGATGCCTTTTGGAGACTTTTCCATCTTTCCTTGGCTTCTTTATGCACATTAATACAAATGTTTAGCTGGGGTGCCCAAACTTTCGATCCTCACTGTAGATGCCTCCCACCTATATGCTGGGTGCGGATACTCTCTGGGGTGGTGGGTCCTGATGGGTCTCCTCCTCCCCCCGCCATAGGCCCTGGTCCTTTTGCCAATCCCCCCTCTCCCCCTATGTCCCCTAGTTGGTGAAATGGTGCAGGGTTGGGTACCTAGTTGCCCTAATCCCCTCCCATGCTTTGATTGGGTTGCGTGGTGTAGCTGTGGGGACAATGTCCTGTGGGTGCCTGTGCTGCCCATTTGGCAGGCAGCCCCCTGGTCTCAGACAAGGGGGACTACTTGTGCTGGGGTAGCATTGCTGTACCTGTGAGCTCTCGATCTCCATTTTTTTTTCTCCTGGGTTTTAGACCATGTGGCTGCAGGGTCCAGACCAGTTCTCCTCCTGTCTGCTGAGGCTATTTTCACCATATGTTGTGGGGTGGGGAGGGTACAGGCTACCCCCTTCCAGCTGGAGGCACTGCTATGGGCCCTCCCAAGGGAACGCGCACCATACGGTCGGTGTGCCCAAAAATGTATGCCATGGCTTTGCAGCCTCAACATTTGGACCCTAGCGCCATACTGCTTTTGGGCAGTTTCTCTTCTCCACCATCGTACTGCCACTGAGCCGGGTGCCCTGCCTTGTGATAGGCTATGCTTTGAGAGTGGACACAGGAGATGGCTGGTGCAGCCACCATGCTGACTCTGGGCTTCCACCCTTTTCTCCCTATGTGGACACACACACACACAAAAAACCAAATGTGGAGGAATCCATGGCTGTGGCGTTGCAGGTGCTGTTAGTGAACCTGCATATGCCTGTGGTGGGTTGTACCCAGCCGATGCCAGGTCAGCAGCTACAGTACTGTAGTGGTCTACAACTAATGGAGTCAGCGCAGGAGGTAGACTGGCGCTGTGCCAGTGCCCTTGCAAGCACCTATGCGACCGCACTTTGATGGCAACTCTATACCCTTCCCTCTGCTACTACTGTTGATTCATGGGCAGTTTTGGGATGGGTGGACCCTGTCTTGGGGCATCACGCTCGGCATCCAGCTTGTCCTGCTCAGCTGTTCGGCAGCTGCTGATAGGACAGTATCCCCTCTGGGTTGCTGTAAACTCTGCTGCTACACCTAAAAGGGCGTTTGGGAGCAGGATGAGCAAAAAATACCTTCCGCCATGTTCCACTTCCTCAGATGTTTCTGAGCCCGAATCAGGCGCAGTCACCGCAGGTCCTGCACTCTCTGCGGGCCATGAAGCCATGATCCGCAATTCCTCAGACAGCAAGGATGAGGCCTCTGTTGCCACGCAAGCAAAAGCGCTAATGGCCGTACTGATTTCCTCTGTGTGAGAGACATTGGGCACAGTTCACTAAACAATATTTTACCACATCGGAGCATGCAGTAAAATAACGCACAGCATGTTTTTTAAAAAAACTGTATAATTCTCGAAGAAACGCTGCTTAAAATTTGACATGCATTATAGTTCCGAATTATGCGTTAATTACCGCATGAAATCATGCGGTCAGTTATAGCGAGAATATTGCATAAACATCATCACATCCTGTGTGCAAAAGCAGTGTTGTGTCTATTTTCATCAGCTGTGGACAGTCTCAACAGTGGCGTGAGAAGCCATGGGTAACAAGCATCACCTAGCTCGCATGTGCCAAGATCTGCCCGCCAGGCCATTTCATTTGGTCCTCGCATCTCTCCTGCAGCTGTGTCACCCCCCTCGTCTCAATAGTTGGCAGCAGAGAGGAGGACAGAACTCCTACAGATCCTGCGCCTCTCTGTACAACTGCAGCAACCCCTTGTCTCAGTCTCCTCCGGTCTCAACATTCAGCAGACTCTAACAACTGACTCCAGTCCTCGTCTGGTCCTCTTCCTCCTTGCACTTTCTGCTGCCCTGTTCCACCCCCAGCTTCTTCCTAGCAGCAGCAGAAGGTAATAGATGTAAAGGAAGGTGGGGGACTCTTGACTTTTGATGATGGGGAGGCTCTTGATATCTGATGTAAGAGAGGGTGGGGTGGTCTAGTCTTACAGATAGAACTGGCTCTTTGAGGGAAACCATCATGCTGATGCAGCCCTCAGTGAAATTGAGTTTGACACCCCCTGACCTAGATGGTAAAACATTTCATTAGTTGCTTTAAAGGGAAAGAACACAGGATATAAGCATAAAAACACATGAACACACGTGTTAACCAGCAACCAACCTCCGAATATTTTTTGAGTTTCAAAGTTGTCATAGATTTGGGATTGGCACAATATGTAGGCATCATGCTCAGATCCCGGGAATCCAGTCACTACATTCCTGACAATCAAATTTGCATCATATACCGCTTTGATATTTATGTGGGATGTGTGCAGGCTCAGCTTGCCAAATCTCTATTTATACCTCTTGGATATTTAGGGAGTGGTAACCTTTCCTGTTGCAGTAGATATGCTCTTTAACTGGTTGCCCTTCACCCAATAGCAGAAGTACTGCTACAGGGCAGCACAGCTGCGCAAAATCACACATATGTACATGATTTGCATCTCCGGGTAGGGGGTGTACGCCGGCTTACCCATGCTGCGGTTGGCTGCTGGGAATGTACAGCAGCGGGTCCTGACCGGCGATTCCCGGTCTGTACTCGGTGATTGTCTGTAGGGCTAAGAGGGAAGAGATCTGTGTGTAAACACAGATCTCTCCTGTCAGCATGGACGTGCTGCTTTGTATGGCTCTGCACAGCAGAGCATATCCTTGAAGCATCTTTCCTTCACAAAAAAACACTCTAGAGCTTCTCCTCTTCTGCATTACTTTAAATTCCAGATGACTGGATTCAAAGGGCTCCATCGTCTGTGCTACACAGTCTGCCAGCCTCCAGAAACAACTCCTGAATGGTATCTAGCTGCCACCTGCTCCTGCTTGCACTCTCCTGCCTATTTTTTTTTTTTTTTTTTTAACAATCACTGACCTCTTACCCTGGCTCTGACCATTGCCATGCATATCGCATAGTTATCGCAAGCTTGGACCACAACCGAATTACTGCATGCATTTACTTCCTTCTGTGAATTGACTGTAACACCTTTTTATGAGGTATTTACCAAGTGTTTTTGTTTGTGCTAAATACCGCATATAAGCAATGGTGAATTTACTATTATCGCATGCATTATGACAGTCACGTGGCCACTTAATGCATGCAATAACTTTTAGTGAATTGTGCCCATTGAGGATTGAGGTCCCTTCTGGGGTTGCCAACGAGATGGCTGCCCCCTTTGATTAGCCTAACCGGCCAGGGTGGCTTTTCTTTGATAGACTTACTTCCAAGTATTGGAAATGTCTGAAGCGCTTATTCTCGGTTCAAAGCACCCTTCGGTTCATTGCCCTTTTTTAGGAAGTAGATCTCTCCTCTTTTGGTGGATTATCCTGTATCTAGATTGCGCATGGCAACTATGCCACCGATGGAGGAGTATTTATCCTTTAAAGTGACGGTAAACTCTGCTTTTGAAGCTGTATAATAAGGCTTACCTGTAGGTACAGTGAATATCTCCTAAACTTGCAGTTTTTAGGAGATCTTCACACTGGATGCATCCGGTGACATCACTCCCACGCATGTGTATGCCATCCCTTCAGAGCTCTGTGCCTTAAATCCGTGACGTCATTGTGCGTCGGCTATTCAAAGGACAGAAGCCAGCAAGCCTAAAATGATGACTGGGGGAAGATGGAAGCCCTAGCACTGCTAGAGGGCTTTGTTCTAGGGTAAGTATTTCATAATGTGCTAGTATGCAATGCATACCAGCACATTATGCCATTGCCTTGCAAGAGATTTTTTCTTTTCTTTTTGAAAGACAGCAGTTTACTATGGCTTCGGATCATTAGGCCGATTCGATTACCTGCATTGTTTGCCATTGCTGGTTCGGCTTTGTGGCCTGTTTTGGCCACAGCCCTGGAGCCCTACTGAATGGGCCATATTTCTACAACTGGGTCTGGTTACAGGCCATGTGTTTTCTATGTGAAGCTGGTGGACCAGTCGGTGCAGGCCTGAAATTTGTTGGCAATGCAGCCCCACTACATTCCAAGCTCTGTCTTGGCTGTTGCGCTTTGGTGAGTTCTTTGGCTTGAATGTTGGGCTGCTGACTTGACATATAAATAGGTTCTGGTGGATTTACCCTTCCAGGATGATTTTTGCTTCAGGGGTAACTTTGGCAGCATCATCAAAAACCTTATGGGTGACGGGAGTACTTTTCTCCCACAGGCCAAGAAGGATAGGTCGTAGGCCAGGTCTCTGCACACAAGAGGCCTTTTCATTCACCTAACTTCTTAGATGAGGGTTTATCCAAGGTCCCTGCAGATGGTGCTAAGCATTCTGGCTCCACAAAACCTGCGGACAAGTTCTCAAGCATCCAGATCCAGGTTGGGGGGTCATCTTCATTGGATTGCTGACCTGTGGACCTCCTTTGTTCCTGACACGGTCCACGAGCTGCTATGTTTAAGATGGATTCCATCCCTTACATGGTGGCCTCCATTTCGCCTAGAGATTTCCTGGCATCATGCATACCTGCATGTTCCCATCTGCGCAGGACTTCAGTAGGTTCCTATGCTTTGCGTTGGGGATGCACATTATCAAACGGTGGTGCTCCCTTTCAGTCTGGTCTGTGCTCCCTGTGAATTCTCTGAAGTGTTAGCCCCAATGCTTGCCGTGACTGGTTACTTGAACGACCTGTGGCTGGCAGCGGCCTGCGCTAGCGGTCAACATGAAGATCACAATGCTTTGGATGGATGATGGGTCCTGAACCTCAAGAAGTCTGCCTTTCCTTGACCAGGAGGCTGGAGTGTCTAGGTCCGAGTCTTGCCTCAATGCAGACCATAGTGTTTTACCTGGTGGATGAGCTCTGGAAGCTTCAGACTGCGGTGCAATGACTCTTGTTCCTTAAGTGGTCTTCCTGGTGTTCTTGCATGTAGGCTCTGAGTCTTATGGTGTCTGCCTCCAGGAAGCTCCTTCTGTAGTTATGTAAATAGGGAAATCCTGTTGACATCTGGCAAGTCCCCTGCCTCCCTGGACAGCCAGTTTTTTGTCTGGGCCAGTTAACAATGGCCCCCCCCCTCCACTGGTGGTTCCGGTCTCCTTCCCTACAGGACAGAAAGCCCTTTTGGCCCCCCCCCTTGATGGTAGTCATGACAAATGCCAGCCTGTATGGTTGGGGATGTGTCTGGGTTCCAGATCCACACCAGGTTACTGGACTACAGAGGAGCCTCAGCTACTCATCAACGTCCTGGGATCGCGAGCAGTCAGGTTGTCTCTGAGGCACTGGACAAAATCTTCTCGGGGGGGCTTCCGGCCAGGAGCCAATCGGATACTGCAAAAGTAGTGGCCTATGTCAACCCCCAAGGTGGAATGAGCTGTGCGGCAGTGGCACTGTTGCTTTTACAGTCTGAAATGAGTTTGTTTTATTTAGCTGTATTTACTCAGTACTTACAAAATCCAAGTGAAAGATATAACACCAACATGTCAGAAAAAAATTTAAACATTTTCAAAAACCGAATCCCTGAGTTGGAAAAAGAATCACTCCCTTCCTAAGAAAAAAAAAAAAAAAAAATTTAAATTCAATCAGGTGTAGCTGATCACTTTCTCAGTGGCACACAATGCCTTTTGACTATCAGCTGTGCTCATTTTGATTAGCTCATGATTAGAGCTTTCCTGGAGCATTTCAGTCCCTGATAGTGCAAGGGAAGCAAACAATCAACTGGGTGGTAAGGCGCTGTCAAAAGATCTCCAGGATAAAATTGTGGAAAGGCACAGGTCATGAGATGGATACAAAGCAATTTTAAAGGCTTTATCAATGCATAGAAGCACAGTGAATTCTATTCTTAATAAGTGGAAGGTGTTTGGTACAACGCAGACCCTGGATGTCTCGTTAAAGAGAACCTGTGACCAAAAAATCATCCCCTCCTGTGATGGAAAAAAAATGTAAGCAATAAAATACAAAAAATATTTTTTTTTTTGCAAAAGTTACACCCACTCACATAACTGAGGCCCCCCCATATATACGCTCACTTGTACGAACATAAACGCACACGTTGGGGGTGCCTCCACGTGATTGCGATACACATGTTCCATATTGCCTCGCACGCCAGAGTGAGAGCACTAATGCTAGCACCAGACCTTCTCCATGACACTAAACTGATGACCTATAGAGGTTTTTGAAGTGTTGCCTATAGAAAATATAAGGTACTGAAGTTTGCCATTTCATGGAAGGTTTGACATGTTTGGTATTTATTTACTCACTGCAACCTCGACTTTTATATTTTACCAAAAATGTGGATAATTATTGTGTTGGTTTACCCCAAAATTCACTTTAGTGTGTTTTTTTACTGGAATTTACTAGACTTTTGCAGTAATATTGTGTGACATTAAAAATTGGAACTACCACTATTTTATTCTCTAGGGTGTCTGCATTCAGAAAATATATAATGTTTGGGGGTTTTGTGTAATCTACAGGCCTAAAATGCTTTTTTTAAACGTGTGCGCAAAAAGCAAAAATGGCTATTTAAAAAAATAAATAATCTGATATGTTAGGCTCCATTCACACTAGGCTTTTTCAAAAAAGTTCCAGGTTGCATGTGGAAAAATGCACCGTGATCAGAGCAAAAACACCCTGCTTTTTTCGAGTGCCGTTAAAATGAATGCCACATGAAAACACATTTGTGCATTTTCACACTTTTACAGCGCATTTTCAAATTGCGGGCAGAATCGCGGCCCTTAGTGATATATCTTTCACTTGGTTGTTGCACTGAGTAAATATAGCTGGATAAAACAAAAACTGTCTGGCTTCATTTCAGACTGCAAAGCAACATAATGTGATTATTTTGAAAAGGGGATGATTATTTTCTATACCCACTGCACTGTGCATTGGAAATTAAAGACCTTTCTTCTTTTTTTTTTTTTTTTTTTTAGGAAGCTGGGAACTGCCGGGCAAAAGCTAGGTGGCTCTGCTGTTCTTTGCCACATAAAGCATGACCCCATGGATCCAACCAGTTGCTTTACACTAACCTCTGCCAATGTGGGCAAATGCCAAACTGTGCTCTGCAGGAGTGGGAAGCCCCTCAACCTTTCCAAATGTTACACTGTTGGCTGTGAGGAGGAGTTGAAGCGCATGAAACAGCACAAGGCAATTATTACAGAGGTGAGGACCTTTTTTGCTTTTGACTCCAACTTGTCTTATACCCGTGCTATATGAACATCAGACTTGTAGAATTCTTTTTGCAGGAATCCTGAGCCTTTTGGGAGAACATTTTGTTTTTCAAACTTGAAAGCTACTGTTAAGAAATCTGTGAGTTCCTTGGTCAGCTGTTGAACAACTAGCTAGGAGTATGCAGGAGGACCCATTTAAAGAAATCAAATTTAATATTTTAAACAAAATAAGTTGGAAGGATTTTGTTGTGCTGGATGGTCAGTTTCATCTAACTCCAGAATTGTTCACGCCGGTTTTCAAAAAATAGGCTTTCAGTAGACCCTCTCATACACAGAGTAGTGTACAGTAGTCAACTTTACCAACTGTATATTTGAAAATGTACCGGTAGCTTGTGAATGAAGTAACTAGAAGACTCGGCAGTCTTTGCAGCCCATAAGCTGAAGCATCTGTTAAATTGTCCTATAACTTTAGGATCTTTTCACATTGAATGTGACTGAACTGATGCCAATCAGAAAATACTGATGCAGATTACATCAGTTTGTACATCTATCTTCAGTTCAGTCTTGCTTCATTTTTTTTTTTTTTTTTTTTTTTTTTTTTAGATGTTGCAGAAACTAATCATAGGTGAAAAATAGTATAAGCAACTCACTGAATCTGCACTACATAAAAGCATAAACAAAAATTTTCTTGACTAAGGGCTAGTTCACAGTGGATGCAGTCCAGTGCATTTTTTTCTGCATTAAAAATGCATGGGACAGCATGTTATGAGTTCTATTGGCATAGTTCACACCAATGCAGTCCCAGTTCAGACAAAAAGCACATGCTACATTGTTTTTATGCACAGAACTGTACTGGAACGTGGCAAAATGCATCGACAACACACAAAAAGTATATGTTCCTATTTTAAGATGAAGTAAAAGAGGGGAAAAGCGCACACAGAAATACATACAAAAAATAACGCACTAGAACGCATCAAAAATGTGCCAAAAACATGCATGCACAAACATATCTGGAATGCAATGCGTTCCTGTGTGGTAACTGTGTGTGTTAAACCGGCCCTAAAAGCGGACATAAATGGACAACGTCTGTTTACATCATTCAGATCAGTCTAAACGCAAAATAATGCAGCCCTGTTTTGTTAAAAAGGAAAAAAAAGACCTGAACAGCCATGGATGTAGGTGGATGGTCATCTGTTTGCCTGCCCATAGACACTCAGTACGCTGTGGTTAAGTCTGGATCTATCTGAAAAACTGACAAGATGGATGAAAACTGAATGCCTATGTGAAGGGATCCTTATTTTACAACTGACTGTAGCATTCAGTAAACATTTCTAAGCAGTTATAAGAATTCCCCCAAAATGTCACTTTAAAAGATTGCATAATACAGAATGCCGCATTGTCTAGCATTCAATTTTTTTAGCGTGTGATGTAGCACACAGCTGATATTTGTGACCCCTATATTAGCAAGGTTTTGATAAGATGTAAATGAAATGTCAAAGCTGTAGGGATTTGTTGTTCAGGGCTAGAATGGGAGGCATTTAGCACTCTGAGAATGAGGTAAAGATACTTATCCTGTGCTCATGTCCCAGCATCACAAGAAACTCTCATTTATCCTATCCTCCTCTTTGTGATGTTATTTTTCTTCCTCTTCTCCCCCCCCCCCCCCCCCCTTCCCTTTATCCTGCTCAAAAGTAATTGGAGCATAAATAACTCTGAGCTGCAGCTGGCTGAATAAAGCTGCTTTTTTTTAAATGGCATCCAGAACTATTACTTCAATGCTAGCTTTTATCCTATACAATGCCTGAAAGTAAGAGTAAAGTGCTTTGCTACAAGATAATCTTGAGATCTCATAACAAAGTGTCTTAAGGGAAATCTGTATTGCCCATAATAACCAGTCAGATTGTCATGTGACTTTTGCTGTGGCTGGCACAGTTGTAGCCAAGTGTGCAGCTTTCTACAAGAGTAAATATCTGAGAGAGCTTTGTTTTTGGACTCAAAGCAAGAAATATGCTGAAGCCATTACAAGGATGGCTCTACTCCTCTATTATGTCATTCAGGCAGTTAAGCTATATGTATTTATCACCGCAACAAACTGGCAGCGTTTGTTTACCTTAATGCATTCTATGCATTAAGATATAAAACCTGGCTGCAGCTCCCCCCTCAGCCCCCTTATACTCAATTGAGCCCTATCTCCAGTGATTTGCATGAGAGCCACGGCTGTTCCTTGTCTCTCTCTCCTCATTGGCACACACAGTAATGGCAGCCATTGACTCCTGCTGCTGTCAATCACAACCAGTGAACCAATGAGGAGAGAACGGGGGGCAGGGCTGAGCCATGCTTTGTGTGTGAATGTACAAGGTCCATTTACAGGAGCGCAGCCCAGGAGCAAGCCTGCTGGAGTGCCCACATAGCAAGAGGCTTGCTGTTTGCTGGAGGAGCCAAATGTTTTTGTTTTTTTTTTGTTTAGTTTTTAAATTCCAACCTTTAGAATCACTTTAAGGGACTTTACATGCACCTTCATGAAGAAATGAACTACTTTTATATCTTAAAAACAGTGTTTATTATAAATACAAATTAACTAAGCAATATTACATAGATCAACATAAGAGACATCAGCTCAAATTCTTCATGATATGTAAATTACAATCACATGTATGCAGATATCTGGGCATTTCACAATAATCGCTGCTTCAAGATAAGCACTACAGTGCAGATACAATTATAATATACACCCTGAGGTGGAGGGTAGGGGGAGCCAAGGAAGGATCACAACAAATACCAGTCCTCTTACCGACTTACGGAGAGTCTGCAGATACAAGCAGGGTAAAGATACAGACACACACACATACCTCCTACCTGTGAATACGGGAGCTGGTATATAGAATGTAAATACAGTAAAAGAAAATGCTTCATCTATTTATGCAGTAGGGTGTCCCCAGATCCTTGGAACCTTACTCTAATTTTGAGGCAGCCCCAAAATTAAACTAGCTAGGCCCTCTGAAAAAAAAAAAAAAATCTTCCATATGAAGGTGAACCCCTGCTTCAAAAAGTGTAGGAACCCTAGCAGGTCCCTGCGTAGTTTTTGACTTTCAGGCATTCATGTGTAGAATGCCTCTTTAGGCTTACAAGCCTAAGCCTTTACCTCTGGCACCTTCTTCAGCGCTCCTTTCAGCTGGTCCCTCATCTCCCCTGTGCTACTATGCAGATTAAAAAACTTTCCCTGGCGTTTTTGGGTTCCTCCCACCCCTAGACTCCTTGATCAACTCTTGTGACAACCGGTCTCAGGAGCTGTGTGTGTCCTATTCGGGTCACAGCTTCTTCCCTCAGGAAAATCCCCTGGCTCAGGGATATGAAAAGCCCTTAATGGTACCTGGTATAAGAGACCCCTTGACTTACTGGGGTTTATTTACTAAAGCTGGAGAGTCCAAAATCAGACTCCCTTCTGCATAGAAACCAATCAGCTTCCAGGTTTCATTGCCAAAGCTTCATTGAACAAGCTGAGGTTAGAAGCTGATTGGTTTCTATGCAGAAGGGAGTCTGATTTTGGACTCTCCAGCTTTAGTAAATAAACCCCACTATGTCAACTAAGATGAGTTTTGAGTGTTCCTTACCTGTATAAAAACCTGTATTCTTAGTGTTGACCCATGCATACCTTAAACTTCTCAGGAATTTGGCTCCTGTGTACAGCCTAGTGCATTTTCCTGGCATTACCTGGTGGAATTCTAAGACCATTTCCTGTAAAGATAGCTTGCAGACCTTTTCAGTTACCATTTTTCTGAAGGGCCAAACAACTGCAAGATCCATCTTGATGTATCTTCCCCACCTTTTTGTCACCTTTAAGCAAGGTTAACCAGCCTTATTTCCTTGCTACAGTCTGTGTACTTTCGTGTCCCTGGTCAGACAGGAAGTGAAGCTTTCTCCTCCCTTTCAGGAGCATTGCTGGGATCTTCTTCCCTATTTTTCTTGGTCTATTTCAGCCCCCTTCTCTGCATCTGGTATTTGTTTCTGAGCAGTCCGTGTCCAGGTGATCCTTCTCCCTGCATCTGGAGGCTTTGCTCATTAAAGTACCATTATCCCATAGCCATTGTTTGGCCTTTAAGAACAGATGGTTCTCTTTTCTTATCAAAGAATCCCACCTTGAATGGATCTCCTGGTTTGGACCCCAATGGACACCATCTGCTGCTGTACCTTCAACACCAAGGAAAAATGGGAGTCCCTTCTTCCAAAGGGGAGGGAGGCTAGTTCCTGTGCTCAACATCACTGCAACTCTTAGCTTTGCTAGCACTGATTACTTAAGGACAAATTCTTGGCAACAGGTTCCTGTTTCATGTCTATTTGGACAAGAACAATGTAACACAGGTGTACTTCAGATACTGCAATGCAGGTAAAGATCGTTGTTGGAGGGCCCTGTACCTTTCTGGATTGTCAGCAGGCAGGTCACTATAGCTTCCTGCTGCAGGTATCCTCTGACATGAACAGAGTATGCTTTAATGACCTTGTAGGACCTGTGCACCTGGGTATAGCACCTCCTTTTTTGGCTGATCCACTGCCTGTTGAAGGTTCTGTGGATGCCTTCTCTTGTTCTGCCTCTAGTCAGGTGAATGCTCTTGGTGGTACTGCTAAGATTCCAATTCCTTGCTCCACGGCTTTTGATTCTTTGCTGAATCTAGGGAAATAGGAGCTTTTTTTAGACCTGCTAGCTTGAGGTTAGGGATAGGCAAGATGGTTTATCTGCAGGAACCTCTGCAGTTCCCTAGCGTTGATCCTTGTGTGCCATGGAGGATGTGTTCTCTCCTGTGGTTCCTATCTCACCAGTCTGGAGCTAAGATCTCACTTCCATTTATTGCTTTCACTTGTGCAGGTGCCACCCAGGCATCCTACCTCCTCAGTCACATTGACTTCATGGAATCTTGAAGATCCAGCCCTGCAAACTGCTATTGCTGCAGTCTGTTTGTCAAATTGCAGCTAATTGGATTAGGGCAATCAAACAGG